TTAACATGGATATTATAACTCTCTGTGGCTATTTTACCAAAAACATTGTTCTGTTGAACCTCAACACAAACCGTATCTTTATTCATGACTTTCAGCTAGAAAAATAAATCTGTCTTATTGGATAAGCGAAGAAAAAGGTAAAGATATACGTTACACTTCATGGAGAGTATTTTTGAAGATTGATCAATGTTTGTTATCTGCCTCTCTTTTTTTTTCATGTACAATAAAAAATACATATCTTGAACTGATTAATTAATGAAATCAATGTGTAAATAAATGCTCTAATCAAATTTGAGCAAGGCAGAAAATTTATCATTTTGTTTATCCAACAGCATAGTCAATGAAATATATCCTAAATCAACCATAATTTTTAATTGCATTCCCTAACCATGAGGTAAACAATGTGCTTTTTAAAAATCTAATGTTACTTTACGTTTTTCCCAATCGTGAGAAGGTGCACGTGGCTGATGTGACCAGTCCTCGGGGGATGCTTACTCCTCCATGGCACCTGATCCCACGTGGTTTAGACATCATTGTTTTCTCCTTTCCTGCTTTGTATATTTTAAATGGTCTCTTCAGCATAATAACTGTTCGTTATATTCATATTTCATTTTAAAATATTATATCTCTGGCTTTGATCCACCTTAAATTCGTTACCTAAGATAAAACACATTCGTTTTAAAAAAATAAATTTGTGTAGTAATGTTCTCTTTATTTCATATTTTTTTTCTGAATGCTATAATAAAATAAGTTCATATGATAGCAACTAAATTATTAACGACGATGATGAAAAGGTATTTAAGGCTCTGCTAAAAATGGACCATGATCTCCATGGATCGCAGAAATGTTGGTTATTAATCTGTACAATCCCTTTAGTGTTAGGATATGAAGAGTATTAGCTTAACTCCTCAATTTTCTCTTCTTTCTGAAGATCATAAGCAAGCATCGTGGTCCTATGTCACTAAAATATTCCAGATATCACTTTTATCAATGAATAAGTGACCGGGGGGATGTAAAACGGGGATGAGATATCCCCTAGGCACCAAAATCTATTAACCATCTCACAAATGTATTCAACAGATGCTTTGTTTGTTTGGTAATTTGATATATCTTGATCCCTATCTATAACTCTCTATTAAAGCTATGCATATGCAATACTCACGGTTAATAATGATCAAACTTCTTAAATTCGTGAAAAAATTATGGAATCTCCATATTTCAGCTTACGAACATTTAAAAAAAAAACTAATAAATTACAAGTGGCTTAAATAACCTTTCTAGTTATTAATCATTTATGTGAGCAAGAGATCTGATTTTTTTTTACCGTAGATTTTCTCTTTATTCCTTTTATGAATGATTGGTAATTAATTAACATATACACCTAGAAATGATAATGAATGACTTGTCCATTGGTTTATCAAATAACATGTACAATGCATTAAGTTTTGAAAACTGATGCAAAATCAATTTTCTGTTTCGAAATTATTAGTTACATAGCACTCAAAACAGAAGTGTAAACGGTGTTACTAGAAAATCTTTTCTATTGTTTGATAATCGTTCTTTGAAAATCAATCCTTAGGAACTTACTTAAAAATATCAGAAAAAAGCCAGATTGGTTGTGGCTAATCAATGTTTTGGTCCTATATATAACTCATACCGTATCCATGTTTCTTGGAATACGTTGTGATTGTAAGGCTAGGTGCAGAATGTTTTCTTCAATGTAAATTTTCTTTTCGTAGAGAGCAGCCTTTGTTGATTGGTGTCTCTTCCAAGTATTTCTTCGTGCGTCATAGACTCTTCAAAACTTTTGTTTTCCTCGGAGAACAATTGTTGAGCAGAATCAATTCTTCTCTCTTCTGTAAACATATATATTGATAACGTACCTGGCCAATGCTTTCTGCCATCACGTTTTTGTTTGGTGGTTTAATATATTAACAAAGAGAGTGACAAAGTAAAATATTATTGTTTCTATTACTGAGGTGTATATGAAGGACGACAAGTGATATAGTGTATTATGAAAAGCTACTTTTGCCTAGAGATTTTTTATTTTGTTTAAAAATTTTTATTTTAAGTATGAAAGTGAATAATTATTTTCCACTGCAGTCAAAGACATGAACGTTTGATATCTTATCTACATAGTATGACCAGTTTTTGTAATAAGTTTCGTTTATAGTAATTGTAAATGGTAGGGAAAAAAATATGATTTAAGCTGAAAATGTAACATAAAATATAGTAAAACTATATAAGATTTGACCAAAAATTGTAACACAAGGAATATAATCTGAACAAACATATGTGCTTTTAAAAAATATATTTTATTTTTTTCGAATATTTATTTGGTTGTTATCCACATAAACTAAGTGCATATAATAAGGCATGGAAACATTTCTTAAATTATTTAAGAGTTACACTATAACTCTGCTTCACAAGGTTTATTATCTATCAAAATATGCAAAATCACTAATCAACGAAGAAAAAATCATAGGAGTTTTAAGATCCTTTTTATAAAAAACATAAATGTTTTAGTTAAAACTTTTTTTTTGAAATTTGAAATGAAAATTGTTAGAACATAAAAAAAATCCAGAATTACTGTATGTGTATTAAAATAGAGGAATGTAATTGCTAGAGACAGACTGAGTTTGCATGCTCAACTTTAAACGAAAATGACTTCAGCTCGGTCACTCTATTGTGGTGAACAAAAATTTTATGAATAGGGGTGCGTATCATTACCGCTACATTTTCGAACTTTTCATTACCGCTACATAATCATTACCGCTACATGTACAAAAAACGTTACGTTACCGCTACATATAAAAGTATACATTACCGCTACAATGCCTCTTTCGTTAGCCAGCCACTTTTGTTTACATGTAAACAGGTTGATTTAGAGTACAACATATACATGCAGAAGACATTTTCCCCTTGCTTATCACGGGAAGTTGAAAGTAGGACTTTGAACATAATGTTTTTAATATAATTTTTATTTAGAATCTATCTAATTTCATAAAACACTTTAAAAAAATTAAATCAAGCAGTTAAATCCTACATTCACGTGCGCATCCAAAATATGTAGAATGAGACATGCATCTCATATAACAAGTCATGGACTAGGTATTAATATTCAAATATTTGAAGCATTACATGATCATATTCTGTACCATACCTGGCTGATGTGATACGTACATGCATGCGGTAATGTGTTGTTTTCGGCTGATTCAATATGTAGCGGTAATGAGTTGTTTTTTAGCAAAAAATTTTGTAGCGGTAAGGATCGGTCGAAATTTGAAAAAATGTATCGGTAATGAGCTGAAATTTTGGGCGATGTAGCTGTAATGTTGACCTCCCATGAAATGAATAGCTATTTTAATACGTTCTGAAGCTGAAAAAATGCTAGGAAAAGGAAACAAAGTTTTATTTGAGAATTGTTTCTTGGGGTAAATTTTTCTTTTCCTTTCTTTTGAGTTTAAGAAGATGGGTGAACAAGGCGGGCAGAATGCCTATAGCGTCAGATATTAAGATATCATTTATTCAATATGTGAATTGAGTATTTAAATTAACTTCTCATTATTGAAATTTATGAAATTATTAGAGAAATACCTTATCTGAGAAAAAAAATCTCGTAAAATTATTTTCTTTTATAAAAATATTAGATGGTATTCGTGGGATTCGAACACTAGCAATAAGAATCCGACGAATCACACTGCTTTCAGATTGAGACTAACGCGCTAACCACTATGCTACATGGCTCATAATGATTTTGGGCATTTAAATCATGTTTGTGATATGTTCCTTGACTTAAGGGACTTAAAGTATTTCTGGGAAAGATGCGAATGTTTTGTCATAAAAGTGTACTTTTAAGGTATAGTGGGTCTTCTCTCCATGTTTTTGTAAACCACAAATTGTATATTCTATTGCAAACTTTTAGGACCACCTTTCAAAAAAATGGAGCGAAGACCCACTCATATTGAAAAATTTTGTTTAAGTATGCAAAATTGATCGTTTTTCTTCTTTTCACTATGTGTATGCTTCTTCATAGGCAAATATTTTCAGTCTTTGTGAGGTTTTTGTAAATTAGAGAGATTTTACATTAAATAGACTTTATTATTAAATAAAATGTCAAATAAAATTAAGATATAATGGAGATTTGATTTTTCACTTCTTATCTGTCGCACTATAGGCGAAGTGCCCTCCTTATCCGCCCATCTTCTTTTTTTATCAGTACTACTCGGCTTTTCATATGCATGTTCTTATATTTAAAAAAAATCTTTATTTAAATATTTCTAAAGCCAACATTGTTCTGATGCACTTTAAAGCTGTAGAATAAAATAATCGTAAATTCAATATGACTATTTTATAGTTCATGTCTCTCTCATATATTATCTATTTTCAAAATTGTACCTTCAATGTTGTCGGAATAATTTCAATCAAGAAGAAAAAAATGTTGTAAAAAAGTCATACAGTGCATACAAATTAGCAATTAGTTTGACTTTTGAGTGAAATGAGGTATTGATTTATTGCAGCATTGTTACAGATGAAACTTAATCGGCTTAGAATTTCCGTATTTGTGACAAGTTTTTCCCGATTTATTCTTCTACTGAGGATAAAGTTGCAAAAATAGTCAGATTTACTTAATGTAAAGTCAGCTAGTGAAAGAAAAACTAATTGTGCTTAGGATAAACTATAATTGGCTTTTTGAAATCACACTAAAACAGATTCCTTTTCATAATAAAAAACATTAGTTGAAGTCAACAGATTTCAAGATTCCAATATACTTAAAATGCATCTCATTTTTCATGTGAAGATGCTTTGCTTATTAAAAAAATGAAGAAATCTTAGTTAGAATAATACATAAACAAAGTATAAATTTTATACAATTACCTTCAGAGATTAACAAGATAATTTTATTGATTGATTGATTTTTGATCGATTGAATGAATGATTGATTTAAATACCAATATCAGTTTTAATTTTATAAACAATTACTTTTTTTGATTTCATAGAATAGAATGAGTGGCAACACAGTGTTGGAAGACCCAGGAATACCTCTAGTAAACAGGCGGAACGGGAAATACTCAAAATACGTAGAGGACGACGGTCAAAGCACGGCCACCGGAACCTCAGTCATGACGTCAAAGTTTGATAACATCAGCTACCGTCTGAGTCGAAGGAAAGTTTTACTGCGCTACAGGACAATCATTGTTAATCTAGAGTTCACTTTCGCTCTTATAGGAATTGTTCTAATGCTCGTAGAAACTGAATTATTTTTCCAAGGTGTGATTACCAAGTCTTCTATCACGTCAATCGTCCTCAAGTCGTGCATTTCTCTCTTTACGGTTTTTCTTTTGATTGGTGTGATTGGATATCACGTGACTGGTATACAACTTTGTATGACGGATAATAGTCTGGAAGATTGGAGGTTGGCCGTCAACTTTCCATGGACATACTTAAAAATATTACTTGAACTGGCGGTGTGCATCATACACCCTATACCGGGGAACATATCAGTGTCTGCGATTGATCCGGATGGGAAAACCAGAGAAGTTTCAATCGACGCCATTTTATCAATCCTCATGCTTATGCGAGTATACTTGCTCAGTAAATTCATGGTAGTTCATAGCAAACTATTAACGAGTACGGCAACACAGAGTCTTGGTGCGCTGAATAAGGTTAAGATAAATTCAACATTTGTATTCAAGGCACTGATGTCTTCGATGCCAGGGACAGTATTAGTGGTGATAATGCTGGCCATTTTGGTTGTAAATTCTTGGGCCATGCGAACTTGTGAAGCATACTACCATCCAGATGCCAAAAATTCAAATTTCTTTAATGATATGTGGATGATTGCAATAACTTTCCTAACTGTGGGGTATGGAGACGCTTATCCTAATAGTTACTGCGGAAGATTTGTTTCCGTAGCAACAGGTTTAATGGGCGTCGGAACAACGGCCCTACTTGTCGCCGTTCTTGCGCAGAAATTGGAGCAATCACGCGCAGAGAAATACGTCCACAATTTTGTCACCAGGGCTCAATTGGACAAGGAGAGGAAAATCGCTGCAGCTGACACGATCAAGTATGTACTGCAGCTATGGAGAATGAGGAAAAATAATGAGAACAATGGAAGAAAACGAATTCGATTACACGGGAAGTTGCTGCAAGCAATAGCTGCAATGAAGGAAGCTAAAAATGAGAAGGCCTCAATAGGAGAAACCGCTATCGGTTTTATTGAAATTGCAAAGAGTGTTAATGACATTGTAGAACTGTCAGAAACGCTCCAAGACACTCAATCTGAACTGAAAACGAAAATGACAGAAATAGATTCCACGATAAAAGATCTACAAGCCAAAATGGATGCCATTTATAATGCAGTTGTAAGATGATGATCACGTGATCCTATGCCATGTGACATGTCACGTGACACTATACTAGACTAACAGCTTTCTGGGTGGTGGTAGAGTTGTCTAGATTGTAGGTTTCAGAATGATTGATATACTGACTTTACTAACAACCGAGCTAAAGTATCCTTAGTTCAAAACTCCTGTCTCGCATTCTACGCAATCGGGATCTTGATGATACATACTAAACGCCCGAATATCTTCAGCTAAAAGAAATGATCTTTTAAAGAATGAATGTATCAATGAATGCCTAATGATAGTTCTGTTATATGAACTGATCAAATTGTCCAGAGTTTTTTTGAATCAGTTCTTAAAAATGAAAAAAAGTCTCATAACTTCGATACATGTGATATCAACAACACATTCTATTATACATGTAACCTCATTATGCTATTGAAACATATAAATGATTTGACCATTTACATATATACATTAATAGATGAAAGTCTAGTTTGTTTTTGAAAGTCATAATGATGCAACAATCACATTGTAATATTGTTTGAAAGCGCTGGTGTATTAGTTTGCATTGTTATCAGAACCACAGATTTAGCGTGTCAAAGAGACAAAAATGTTGAGAATATACACTGACAAGACTGTTTTTTTTTTTCTTTCCATTTTTTCATGTGATAGTAGAGCTACTTCTACAATTACAAGTAGATTTGAGTTTTGCCAAAGCGTTTAAAGGAAACAAAATATTGTGCATGTACCTTATGCAAAAGGTCACCGAAAGTCCAACTATAAACTTCCCATCAAAAAACAAGGATTTTTAAAATTAAATTTATTCCAAAAAAATGATTAAAAACATTCTTAAATTCTATTCTGCAATTAAGCAAAAGGTTGGAGAATGATTTTTCACAATCATTATAACTCAGATTTTTCCTACATACTCTTATTATTAAATACATTAAAATTTGATAAATTATATAATTTTTTCTTACAAATAATATGGAAAAATGTTCAGTAGTCCTTTGTATACATGTATTTGTAATTTTAGAGAGTCCTGGTTTCAACTATTTTAATTCAAGGTATAGTAATTATTGAAATATGTTAAATGGTAATTTCTAACATTTTGGATCCGACACAATAAGATATTGCTAAAGGAAATTCCATTTATAGCTTCAATAGTTAATGTCTGAAAGATTTATTTTCATAAGAAGAAGAACATATCATTATTACATGGATTGTTTCACCTTTGCATGTTCTACAAATCAACACGTCACACATAGAAAGAAAAATATATATCCAAAGGTTATTTGGTCAGTCATGCGCAAGATCTGATTGTTTTATTATCATTAGATGCTAACATATGTGACACCGTAGAATTATTATTATCAACTGTATAGAAAAATGTCGCTTCCTGCTCATCAAAAGATATAACACAACACGAAGCGCGATTTCCGAATTGTTTCCGTTCATATTGTGGTTTGCTTTCGTATTTCATTACTACTGTACCTATAATCTGATCTTATAGATTCTGAATACATTTTCATTGATCAATAACTTAAAATTTCATTCAAACAAAGACCGTTAACTTCTTCGACGTTTAAATGATGAAGAATGGCCTAATTAATGATAGTATATCATTATGCCAACCATGCTTACAAATGTCTGTAATTTCCGTTTTTTAAAAGTAATTTTATGGTTGAGTTATATTCCCTTCAACAAAATAATACTTACAACGGAACCCCCTTTCTTAGAAAATAATTTAACTGCATGCTGGATGAAGACTTATTGTGAAAAGTATTGCACGTGACGAATTTAACTATGCCCGGTAAAACGTACCATTATACTATTGGAAGGTTACCCAGTGGAGCAAAGGGATAGCTATTAATCTCTAATGTTGTAAGGAGACCATACAGGAAAGGATATCTAAGCTTTCAGGAAAAGCAGTCTTTTATATCAGCTAAATGGACCCTTCCTATCAAAAGAGGAAACCTATAAGGCAATTAATGATACTAAATGAAGCTCTTGGCCAAGACTCTTCATAGTTCTTATTACATTTTGCACGGAACATCTTAATACAAGGACATACCAGAGTCCATCAACGACATGCTATTTTGATGTACAGCGTTTTAAAGATCTTAAAACCAAAGAGGAGGAAAATGGAGTCTTCTTTATATTTATATGAAATGTATCTTATTTAGACATGAAATGTGATCTATATAGACAGTGATCGATTAAAGAAACAAATCAAGGCGCAAACAGTCCGTCTCTTTGCTGAGAATAATGCAAGAAGAAATGATCAAGGGACCAATTTCAGTTAATGAAGATGAAATCGAGTCCATAAAGAAACATTACTTACACGAATGATTGTAGGTCTGCAGTATAAAATGTCATTTTGCTGGCTTTGGTGTCATGTAGTCTGTAGTAAATTGTTTCGATTTGCTTGAGGTGAAAACATGTCTCAAATGCAAAGTAGTGAGAAAATGAAATCAATACATCAATAAAGTCTTTATTTAGTACGTCTTGACAAAACTGAACATTTTTATCTCCTTTAACAACTGTTTAATAACTGTCTTTTTAAAAATAAGACTTAACAAAAATGACATCAAAATCACAGTTTTCATAACTTCATTGGCAATTAAGATTCAAGTGCTTTGAAAATATTCGCGAAAACGACAGATGTTTCAATGGAGAATCAAATATTACATTTATTTTCTTTTTTTATTAAATTCTTTAATGTTTAACATTTTTGAAATTCCAAACCAAACACTTATTGAAAGACTAAAACATTGCAAAAACATAGTACATGCCTTAATCATTATGAGATTCCAAGGAAAATGTAAAATTATTATAAATTTAGACTAAAACGATGACAGAAAGAATTGGGCCTTTTTAATAGAAACTTAAAATTTATGAATATAAACAAAACTGCAAAGTCAATCAAACCTGAATAATTGAAATACAATGTCTACATGTATATTGAAATAGACAGAACAAAACGCTAATAAATTGAAGATCTTCCTATTTTTCTCCCTAGATTCCTGGGCGATTTTTAAAAATATTTCTTCTAAGGTCGGCAAATGAATTTCATCTTCTTTTTTTTTTTTGTATGCAATTCAAAGTATATTAATATTGTCATCAAGTGGAGAATCACGGTGGATGCGGTCGGTTATACAAGAAAAAATGTGGATTAAGGGCCTATTTTTTAGGCGAAAAAAAGAAAAGAAGATATTGTATCAAGGCAAAAATTTAGAGTTGATGTATATCATTCTAATAAAGGAAAACTTTTCAAAAGTAACCAGCATCGATGAAGAGATTTTGAAATAACTGGTAAACAAATATCTTACACAATTAAGCCAATTAACAAATATGATATACTATCAATTAAAAAATATATTGATTACATATAGTGTGTTATAGATTTTGGTGAATCAATTTTAAAAGACAAGGCAGATCAATCTAACTACATAATAGTACATGTACTTAGAAAACAAAAGGTACTCTTAAGTCTGCAGTTTATACACTATAATGTAGATGTTCATAATATATATACATATTACTATATACAGTATATAGGCTACAAACATGCTAGTAAATATCCTTTAGTCTATCAAGAAACAATCGTTGCAATTATGTCAGGTTATAACATGGGTTAATAAAGCATTTAGAATTTGCATGATTTCTGTTCGTTCCAACATTAAATGCTGATTTTCCGTATGTCAATTGTTTCTGAATGCATGCCCTCTATTATCTTTGACACAAATATACCTCACAAATCATGAGACATGCCACAAAACAATACATAAAATATATATATTTACATAAGATAAAAAAGATGGCGAAATCTAGACAAAATGAAGAGCATAAATTTATTGTTTTATGTAACTTGATACAAAGATTCTTTTTCTAAAAGATTTTATTTCTATAAAGATTTCAAAATATTTACAAGGATCAAAATCATTTCCTAACCAAAAACAATTTTAGCCTAACGTACCATCATCTATTATCAATGGGTCCTTGCATTCATACATGTACGTATATCACCAGTTAACGTTTGCATGAACATTCATACTAATGGAATACAAAAAAAAAAATAATAATACTTAAAGCTGAGCTGAATGCTAAACACGCGTACTATATTTATTTTCAAATGTTCTTAGAAACTGAAAGAACTGAAAATACCCCGGTACTTACTTAAATATTTTTTTTATTATTATTTTTCATTCTTAATTATTAAATATTCCGATACAGAAAACCCTTAACTTTATTATAAAACGAATCCATGAGAAAAAAATATTCTCCTCAAAAGATAATATTGATTTTACTTACAGTCAAACAATAAAAAAAAAAAATTCCCTTCCGAGTTACCGTATGTCCGTTTGCCGCCATCCTGGAGGTCAAATTAGTGAATTTCCTCAAGCATGTTTGACAGACATAAAGTGGGGGATATTGTTTAAATGCAAAAAATTCTTTAAAAAGAGATTAAAAACGTTTATTTGTCAGAAAACTTGCATTCTATACCTCAATAAGTAGGGCAAGTTTTCATTGTTTCATTCTGAATAAATCTGGGCATATATTTACCTCCAATATGGCGACCGACAAGAAATAGAGAAATAACTTTTGCTAAATTTAAACTACATCTATCGAAAACAATCTATAATGTATAACAGTCAGTTAAGATCTAATAATTATTTTTCTTGGAAAGCAATTAAAACAATATATGTACATATAACTCGTGATCAATTTTTTACAGTAGCACCAGTTTTTAAAAACTTGAGCCATTGATACTCTTTAAAAAAAGCTCTACATAATTTGTCACATGCAAAACCACTAACGCCTGCTACGCTACCAAATCCCAAATGCACAAGCACTTTTTCCAACAATACGGATTTTTACACAACAGTCACACTTGTAAAACAGACCAGAGTACACATCTCGAAACTAATGTAGGAATGTCCTTGTTTTTTTTGTCTGGTAATTGAAGCATTGTCGAATAACGGTTAAGTTAAGAAATGTTTGGTTTGAAAACTACTTTGAAAAAAAAGATGAATTATATTTTCAAGAAATTGTACATCTGATTATTAGCTTACGTGACCTTCAAATAGTTTCTCTGTTGTGCCTCTGGGAGTAACTGGTACATGCAAAGAACAGGGACTCAAAATAACCGGTAATTTTTTTTTTTCGGATCATCTCGTTTTAAGAAAATATTTATTATAAAAATTGCTGTCTATAAACATCACCCACACATGTATAGGCATGACCTTCGACCCGAGTTCGTCCAAGACATTGTCGAATCACATACGCCCCATTCCGACACACGGCAAAATTAATGTGATTGTTCAAACACTGAAATCTCTGGCCATTATGGCAAGGTCTACAGGGTCCAGCGAGGAGGCAGTTATGTCCTAAGAAACAACCTGTCAAAAGAAAGGTAAAAAAAATATGGTCAGGTTGCTTTCGGGACTGCATTGAGTTTTAAATATATCGTTATACTATATTGAACGGTAAACCGTCAAAATGTTGCATGTTATGATTGAAAATAACAAAAAGTAATAATTAATGGAAAAACAATAAACTATCAGTGCTTTGCACCAAAAACAACAAACTATCTGTGCTTTGCACAACTATAAGAGCTACTAATTTTTAAAAAAACATTAAATCAAAAATAAAAAGTTAATCGAATGCAATAGCACTTTTCAAAATCTTTTTTCTGGATTTCTACTAAATCCAACATATACATTATACAACATATAAAATCCTAAAATTATTTGGTCTCCTACAGATGTGAAAATCTCGAACGACTTTTTAAAGAGTTATTATCCCTTAATTGTACATATACTAACGAATCTCCATAGTAAAGGGTATTTCAAAATTATCCTACGATAACCCTCAGAGTTCGAGCATATGCATTAAGAAAAATAGGAACATACCAGGCATCTTTTGATTATCCCTGATAAACTCTTGTTGTAAATTATTTATCCGGTTTTCATTTACAAGTCCTCGCACCATCGATGGCATTACTATCGGATGTCTTCGATTATTTCCATTCAGTCGTCTCGGGAAAGTTGGTCCCATTCGCTTTTGTTGTGAGACAAAATCACTTTCCCAAGGCCAGTCATTTTTAAAATCACAAAAGAATTTAATGGACACTTCTGTCTTTTTTATTGATGGACAGTTCTCACCAAGTGGTAGATTCCACATATCATAGACATTTTCTCCATAATGACGTCCATATAATTTCGGCATCCGTGACGTCACTCTTATGACACCATTGCATGGTCTATACTCCGTGCTTCCTGGCATATTATTCTTGCAGTAGGCTCTGCAAACCCTGCCACATGAGTCGCGAGCAGATAAAATAACTTCTGCCACACCATTTTCAGGATTTTTAACAGCAACGTATGCCATTGAATTAGACATGGCTAATCTCGTATCCATAACAGCAAATTCGGCATAAGTTCCTTTATAATTTAAACCACGTGACTGAATTGTCACGCGACCTGCATTTCTATCTGTATCATCCTTACATCGTGAATATTTTGCTAAATTGTCAGTTTTAAGTATATCTTCCATTCCGTATGTTTTTGGTGAATAAATATCTCCTCGTCGATATAGGTTTCCATTGAAAACGGGATAAGAACGGTACATTTTCTTCTCTGGTGGACGAACACATATAACCTCTACAGGGATATAAACCCATTGTCTTATGTCTTGAGCTCCATCGCAACTAAAACGGTTTTGTACAGCATTATCTGTTCTGGTAGCATTGCATTCTTCATCTTCCGAATCGCTTGTTCTGTACACACTTGCTATGGTTTTCGATATACATCTTGGAGGATTGTGTTTGGTATCACAACGTAAGTATGGTGATCCACAATAAGGTCTGAGCTTGGAACAGGTAGGTTTAGGTTTGTAACTAACCAAGGCTGCTAAACCATGTGAATAACCATCAATATTCCGCAATGCTGCAAACCCTGATAGTCGCAGTGGGTGATGCGCCTCCTCACCGTAATCTTCAGGATAATCTTTCGCTGGATTAACACCAAAGGTAGCCTGTCTCTCTCTAAATTTTTCCCAAATATAATCCACATAAGCATGGAGGTTGAAAAACGCAGGATCCTGTGAGGAAGTTTCCAGATCAGCTATTTGTCCGTTTCCGCCTCCAATCCAGTTATGAATTCCGCCATGTTGTTCCTCCAGATTATCTTCTTCTTCGGCATTGGGTGCAATGATTTCGGCATTCCTTGTTTTATTTAGAATCCTCTGTATGCCCTCGGTTGTCCACAGTTCTCCATCGTCGCCATAGTTACGAACAAGAGGTCCGGATGGGGTTGACCAGTTTGCGTAAGGTCCAGATGTTACAACGCCATTTCCGTTTCCAAAGAATTTCTCGCAGAATAAAACAGATTGTGTCGAGTCTCTTAAAGGTTCATCAAAATCACCGGCAAAGTAGGGAATTGTAACACCGGGTACTATCTGTCGTAGAGCATTTTCCATCCTAAAAAATCAGGTATAGGATTTTACTGTCAGTCGATGTTATGTAATATATCACACTACTATATGTAAATGTTTTAATTTTAATACCTTATTGGGATTGCTTATAAATATTAAGGAAATATGTGTATATCTTAACATATATATTTTCTATCAAAAACTTGGCTGTCATCATTCTCTATAACGGTTTTGGATATCTTCATTGTATTCTCAAGATTTTCACTTGCAAATACCGATATTGCGTGTCAAATAATTATTTCTTAGAAAATATAAATGTTGCCTCGTAAAGAAGATAAAGATATAAGAATGATTTTGAAATTCTGAGGTGAAGTATGACATATGAACCAATACCTTATCCTTGTCAAATAAGACATATGCCATCGACTGATATTTACCACCTTGTAAAAAAAACATCTCAAATTTCAGCTAGTCACTCATATACAGAAATGGTCCTTATATTTTGTAATTGCATAAAAATCAAGAAGACACAAGTAAAAATTTCTTTCTGTTTCATATCCCAAACATAACTGAACATGTATTGTGGCTAATGACACTAAACTGTGGGTTCTGGTACATGTATACGTATTTCAGAACAATCCCATTTTAGGGGTGGGAATCTTTCCAAAAAATAGCTTACACTATGAGGTAAATTCTATGCCATCCCATAAAGTTTGGTCCCTCGTGAGCAGAATTTATAATGGCGCCTTCGTGGAGAGCAGCAATGACGTCATATCTGTTCGATTTACCAATCTGAAATAAGTAAAAGAAACATACGATGAAGTTCAGAACAAGTGCTAGGAAACATCATAGTTAGTTTGAATTGAACACCGGAAGTGATGTATGAGGTCACTGACCTTTGAAAGCAATTTAGAATAGTTTCGTCTTGGTTATCGAAAATTAAATATACTAGTATTTACGATTCAATGACTGTAACTGTCGTTTTCAATTTAGTATTTAACAAAAATTAATGTAATGAAAAACATGTAACTATAACTTTTTATCATGTTTAATTTTATTGATCATAAGAAAAAATTCCCACCACCTAAAACAAAAAAAAAACTCACATATTACATGTAAAGTATATTCTATTTAACTTTAAAATATCAAAATATATACGAAAACAACAATTTTTTTTCTCTGTAGGTATTTTTTTAAAAGAATATTAATTTTTTAATTCATTTCATTGTTACTATAAAAGTTTGCAATACCGTTTATTCAAGAAATTTTACCAGAAAATGAAAATTAATATATTTCATAGACCTGATCTTCGCAAGCCAAGGGTTTTTGGTCCGTTCACTCCCTGCCAAGGGTTTGTGGGGAGTGAAGCAGGCCGAAAACCCTTGGCTTGCGAAGATGCATAGACCTTAATTCTCAAATTAAATGTCCAATTGATCTTTAACTTGTAAATTCAAATATATGTAATTTGGGGAATGTTCATGCCTCAGATATCCCCCAAAAGGTCTATAATGTTTTATTTTAAATCAAAAGTCTACAATGTATAGTAAGTTTAATTTTCAAATTTGATAAAGGAAATGTAAACCAAAGAATTCGAGTAAAATATTAAAGTATTGTGTCACAATAAACTAAAATTAATTATTTTAAAGTTATCTTTAATTTAAATTAACTTATTAAAGGATGAAAATAGTCTTAATAATTTAAGATTTTTTGGGGTTATGTATTTACCCGAAGTCGCTTCAACATATTGACAGCATGGTGATAAGCCTCCCTTTCTTTCTCAGTCATCATTCTGTATTCCTTTCTCCATCTGTGTTCAGCATTAGGATGAAAAACATCTATTCCGCTCCCATAGAAGACCACTGGAGGGGGGAGAAGACTCTCTATGTAATGCGTTTCCTCCACAGTCATATTACTTCCCTGATTCAACATGGCGCGATTGCAAGCTGCTCTTTGCATACACTTCCAGTAAATTTTGGCACCAATGCTTCGTTGTAAGTTAGTTTTTCTATACTGTGTATTTAAACAATCTTCAATATCCCCTGGAGTTGTCATTTCTTCTATCATTGAATTTCCAAAGTGAAACGAAAGTAATCCAGATAACAAAAGTAGAATATACATCTTTTTTTAAAAAGAGAAGAATATAAAAATACTTAAAAGTTACAGTTTAATTTTGAATTAATGCTCCAACTATGTCATGAAATTTGCTTGCGCTTCATATTATGAAATGACCACAAAGCAAAATCATGTCTATATTTGGGTCAACACTGAGTGAGAATAAACATCACAGTGTCAAAAGTACTCTTCATAACACGTTTCCATGCACAAGAGATCAGCATTCATAAATTAGCCATTCATATAAAAAGATTTTCCATCGGTATACCTTCCACTATGCTCCTAGAATTGACCTATATACAAAGAATGACAGGTTTAAGTCCATTTTATGATCCCTTGTCATATTGATCGCCGAATTCGACAAAAACCAATCAAATGGAAGCGATCAATATGTTTTTGACCGGGTTCGGATTTTTTTTGAAAATTTTGGTCGGAGAAAAAAAAATTCCAGCCAATTTTGTTTCGGGAGTGCTGAAGTTGGTAGAATGACCGCGGAGTTTATTTAATTTTAATGAATAAATTACGTCTTTTTGTCAGTTCAATCCACCATCAAACATCGTGCAATAAATTCCTAACCCTAACAACATGTGTTTTTAAAATAAAAACTGATTCCGAATAATGTGAAGTCATGTCCGGTACCTTGAGAACAAAAAAATGTCAAGTAATCAAAATAGGTGTTTTCTCTCCCAAAACAAGATTTAAGAAAATTATTCAAGGAAAGTTTATTTACGACATGCGCTATCATCATGTAAGGATATTTGTTTTATGTCGTAAAACAAATATTTACAAGCCAAGATTATTTGGAATTGATTGTGCTATGACTATTTTTTACAGTACACGTCGTATGATCTTTGATGTGGCCAGACACTAATGGCCGCTAGCCTTGTTTTATGATTAGTCTTTCAAACGCCGCGCGGGGACGGGCTTACTGGGTTTTAATTCTAAAAATCTCAGGTATATCAATATAATTGTAAATTTTGGCCATTTTATAAAATAAAATACTATTTTTAATAATTTTATTTTTTAAATTGTTTAATTCGTAAAACGTGATGAAATGTAATATTATTTTTTCTTACCTTTACCGAAAAAGAAATGAAACTATTTATTTACTATATAATCATTAAGCCTGTCACATAGGAATTTTATCTGATATTTCAAATTTTAAAGCAATCTTTTTGTTAAGGTTTGGGCCTTTTTAAAAACTGTTAGACACATGAACAGATAATTTTAAATGAAAGTTGTATACTTTTTCATGTATATTTGAGGTTATAAATGTACATGTATAATAACGAAGGGATATTGAACAATTTTAAATCATTTTAGACCAGTGTAAAGAAGAAATTTTCAATTTTGTCAAATATCTGTAATATGTGCTTCTTTTTATTTTAATATACATATATAGCCCAAAATATTTTAATAAAGAATGTCTATGCGTATTTCCACGGAGACATTTATATCATATTTTTTAACAAGATATTTGTATCATATATATTTTTTGTTAGTTTGTTTGATTTCTTTCTTTTTTCTTATAATATTCTTATTATATATATTAATTTGAAGGTTATTTAAGTCGCAGAACGAGTTTTCAAAATTCTGTTGAAACCCGATTTTTTTAGTCTGAATATGAGACCTTTTTTCTTTTTCATTGTGACGAAAAATGTACATGTACCTGTACATTTGTTTTCAAAGAGAATGCATGACTTGTGCAGCTGTCATCTGAATATTTCCAGGCGACTATAACGAATGCCAATCGACAAGGACCAAGCAAAAGAAACAATTCTTCTGACATCACTTTATTTGAATTCGTTAATTTCGTTGTTGTTTTCAAACGTTTTTGATCGCTGTCAAGGAAGTGTCACTTTTTGAAATTTACACCGTGATGATACTTGTTCTTTTCAATGTTCTCTGCCTTCATTAAATCTTAACGACAAAGGAGATCAGTTTCAACAAATTCAGACCAATTTATGAATAACTTTACCAGCCATTATGGATCAGTCACAGTATGCTAAATTAAAGCGTGTTTTATAAATTTTTTTCGAGGCCTTCAGAAACTAAATCCTGTTCCTTATTTTTTAATGGCTTTACCATTTTCATCTCATTATTCTCATTCTTATGTCGATACAATAATAATTACTAGGTTAACACCCGCGCAAGCGCGGGAAATTGAATTTATATAGGGCCTAGGCTATAGTTTCCATTTACAACAGAAAATATACGAGGGGTGATCAAAAAGTTCGCAAACTATCTCTATATCTACAAATTAGAATGAAATTCGGTACACACATAGCCATACACAAGGTCTATAAATAGCATATGGCTATGTTTTCAGTCAGGTGTAAATTTAGGGTGGCTTATGAAAAAACATATTTTACTAATTTTCTATAAAAATTAATAAACCTGAGACACAAATATAATATACTTTAAAGGTTAGAGATATATTCAAGACAATTTCATACGCCAAAGTCACTCATAAAAAAAATTATTCAATTTTTAGTCTCAAAATTATTTTTTTTTTTTGGAATGTAAAATGTGACATTGCATAGGGTCTTATATTCAATGGTTGTATGAGCCTATTAAAACTTACTCTACAGACACAGTTCTTTTGCTAATTTTACTAGCGGTGTTTCTTCAATAAAAATTAGTTTTTCTAGTTGCCATGGAAACTGTCTTTAATTAAATTAATAAAACTTAAAATTAAAATTGTCTGTCAATTTACTGACCAAAAATGATTAAATTGACAGATGTTGCATGCGTGTTAAAACTTCTTGCCGCTTTTCAATTGTTGATATGCATTTTCTTGCATAATAAAATTCATTTCTATTCAGATAACATTGTTTTTCTGTGAAATATGTTAAATCAATTAAATCTTCTCCTTTGTCTGTCCTATGTTACGGGCGAAAATTGTAAAAATAAAAACCGAATTTTTCAATCAACGGACCTTTCTGGGGCCCCTTTTACGACATACATGCCTTGAGATGGAAGAAAACGAGTGCATCTCGTGCTTACCGTAAACCAGTCTGTTTACAAGATGGACGGAGGCAAGGAGAAATAGTTGTCTGTCTCACTGAAGTGTGTAAGTTACGCATATATGCTGAATAAAGTTTCTCTCCTTGTTTGAGACGTCACAATGTGAAAATGACGTCACTATTTAGGTCACTTGTGACGAAAAATGGTTGTCTCAGTCGAACTCGTTCAACAAACGACTGTACAATTTATTGTAATATCTTAGAAATCCCTGTACAGTATCTTATAATAATTTGTACACAGTTTATTGAGATAAATGAGTTCCTATATATTCAATTAATGATTGGATTAATCGTTTTAGTGAAAACTGATGGTTAAAAATGATAGTCATCTTGCCCAGTGAAAGCAAGTTTGAAAAGATATGTATTTTTAATTAAGCAATTTGCTATCAAAGACCTCCAATTAGCACTTTGAAAAATAGTTGAATATTTGAACAATGATATAAGTATTAAATACCTAAGATATCGTTTACTTTAGATTTTAAACATATTAGATATGATAAAAAGGATGCACCCATTCTCTATCCACCTTGAATAAAGGTCTCTCCTGAGACAGAAGATTTGGGTTTTAATGGTCGCCATGCTTATTTTTGGAAAGGATGACCATTTCTGACAAATTAACTGTTCTTGTCATAAAAATTAACTCACATGGAAAGAAATATAAAACTCGGAAAAATCTTTTAACTTTTGTGAAAGAACGCTACGGAGGGGGTCACGTGACCGCCAATATCACGTGATTCGCGCATGCGCAGAACGGTGGTTGATGTGCATTAAAATCGGGGAGGATTAATTTAAAATATAATCAACATTAAAACCAAATATTATTTCTTGTATGGAAGTTATTCACTTAGTTTGCGAACTTTTTGATCACCCCTCGTATATTGTAGATGTTTTTTGTAAATTTTACTGACAAACTACAGACTTATAGCGGGAAAAAAAATTGTTCAAAATCCCGCATGAATTAGATGTACGTCTCCATCCTCATCCACTTTTTGTGAAAACTTGAAAAATAAAAATTTCTTTAATTGACATTTATGTGAAACCTCATACAATGTTATGGATTTTGCACTTTAGATGTTCTTATTTCATTTTCATGAAGGATAAAAGCAGCAAATATACACAATTTACAAATAAATTGATTTTTGGGGGTTGGGGGAGGGGTAAAAACTCACAGGTACTTAATTGGGTCTTGGTTTTAGAATTATATATGTACCCTTATCGATAAGTAAAGAGTTTGTTTTTGTTTGTTTTTTGTTTTGTTTTTTTTACAAAGCATTAATGTACATGTACATATTCATAAACCAAACCCCAAGTACCCGTGTAAAAATTAGCTTTTGCCTCCCCCCTTCCCCTTGAATAGGCCGAATAATTGATGCAAAAGACTTTTTTAGAGAACAGAAAAAAATTGAATTGTCTTTATTACAGCACAAAACTTTACAGCTTTAATTGTATTTGAATAATACCTTATTCGATAGTTTTCTCTTTTATTGTAAGCAAGTTAATTACGAAGTACAAATTGTACGTCGGGTTCGTTGCACGATGCTCTCAGTAAGGAAAATACAACTTTTACCGATAAAATCATATATGTACTACATATATAGTATAGTCTTTCGATACATGTATTTCCTGTACTTATGATATTTACACTTATCAGTAACTCGTCATTCCTCGCTGTCAGAGGGCCATGATCAATCTATATTGGACACTTATGTTACGCAATAATCATTGCCATTTGTCTACTTACATGTATATATAATCCATATATTAATAAATATTAGTGGCTTTCCCGGAAACAATATGTTTCTAATAATTTCCAAGCATACTTTGCTCGTTTTTACCAAACTATTGTTTTATTGTATTTTAATTTATATACATCATTTGTTGTAAAATTATTTAATCAAATCACCCGTTAATTACATTATTTACAATCATTTCTTGAAATGTAGCAAAAGGGACATGATGTTCTAGAAGCTTCCGTCAATA